AAGAGATCATAATCGCACGGACTCATTGGGTGAGTATGGCGGAAGTTGCAGTATCTCCCATCGCCAACGGCGAAGGAGATCCTTGACAGCGTCAGCAGTATGAGCCCTTGCATTGTCATGAAGGATGATGAGATTCGTTGCCAACATGTGTCGTCGCTTTTTCCTGAGTGCTGGACGAAGACGATAAGGCAGGAAACTGCAGTAGCAGGCAGCGTTTACTGTCTGCCGTTGAGGTACAGTGTGGTGCAGTGTCACTCCATCAGTGTCATATGCCACAATGAACATCGCCTTCACATTACTCTGTGTAGGGCGCACTTTCTTTGGCCAATGGGAGCCATGATGCTTACATTCATTTAATTGTAGCTTCACGTGTGGTTCGTATGAGCGAACCCAAGTTTTGTCCAGAGTACGATCCTTCCAAGGAAGTCGTCACCTTCCCTCTGGTACCGGTCCAACAAGTCCCGTGCAATTACATAACGTTGCCATTGTTGCACCTCGGACATATGGGGTACGCAACGCGCTGCAATTTTGCGGTATCCAAGAATATCGTGCAGAATGTGGAGCAGGTTTTGTGACATAAGCCTACCTAAGCAGCTAACTCCCGCGCAGCCTATCGACGATTGACATCCAGCAAAGAAGCAAGAAGCTGAATTGTATGGTTATCAACATGGGGTCGTCCTGAATGGCATCCCCCCCTTCACGGAACAGTTTCACCCATCGTGCCACTGCGCGATATGGCAAAGCAGCATCATCACGTGCTTCTCGCAGTCCCTGACAACAGTTTTGTACACTACGGCCTCGTGAAACTTCAATTTTTATCCAGGAGTGTTGTTCTTCTTTCGTAAACATGTTGTTAGGGCGCTTGAACTGGGCTCTTGCACTTCAAGATGATGCACAATGCAACTCAATGAAACACAACCAGAGCCACTCATTGCACTACTTCAACTGAACTTCTGCTATCGGCTACAGAAGGCGCTAGTGCCACCTGAGGCACATCTTTCATGTTACAGCAGTGTTGCCACTACTTTTTATCCAACCCTTGTATGACCTGATACAATTTATCCAGCTTTGAGTTACAGTCATTCAACTCATTTAACCGATGTGGGAATATGAAAGAATCTATGGAGCACTACACGTTCATACTTCTGTTAAACTTTGAGTATGACTTGTTTGTTGTGTTGTCATTTGTATATACAATATACTAGTACTTACTTACTTACTTACATACTTACTCATGGAGCTGAGTCTTTCGTGAGGAACCGCAAATTCTGCAGCTACTCAAGAATTTCCCAGCATTTTATGGAACCCGAAGGTTCATTACGCGTGTTCACAAGAGTCCTCCACTTGTCCCTATTCTGAACCAGATCAATCCAATCCATACCATCCCATCCTATCTCTCTAAGATCCATTTTAATATTGTCCACCCACCTAAGCCTTGATCTTCCCAGTGGTCTCTTTCCTTCTGGCTTTCCCACCAATATCCTATACGCATTCCTCGTCTTCCCATTCGTGCTACATGTCCTTCCCACCTCATCCTCCTTGACTTGATCATTCTAATTATACTTGGCGAAGTGCACAAGTTATGAAGCTCCTCATTATGCAGTTTTCTCCAACCTTCTATCACTTCATCTCTCTTCGCTCCAAATATTCAACATACTAGTACAGCTGCATAAAAATGTTGTAACCTAATGGAAAGGAGGGATCACTCTTACAGCAAAGTTCTTTGTTCTTTTGATGGTACTCACCTCTGGGTCGGCATCATATGTGCATTTCGTTGCAACAAAAGCAATGTCACAGGCATCGACCAGGTCTGCAATCAGAGAGCAAATTGTGAAATTGTCGGTTCAGGTTAAGCTGTCCCAGTATTTGCCGCCTTCCAAATTTTGTTCGCCTTAATATCCGAATAAATTCATGAATTCACACTGCATCTTACATGTGCGTCCGTCCGTCCCGATTCTAATCACGAAAATTAAACCCATTTTCTCATAACGGCCATCAAATTGTGGTAATTATGCAATACACTATTAATTAAGAAGATGAAAATTCCTCATCCCCTCTCTCAAGCCACTAATTTTCACCATCCAAACATATTCACTTTCTCACTGCTTTCATCAGCATGACAAACAGGAAAAGCCTGGAAACTTTTAACAAAATTATTCTCCCTCTATCCCTAGTATAAATTGTCTCTTCCTTTCCCATGGCAGTTCCTTCCACCCCCTCTTCTATTGGTCTTTCTTACCACTCTCTTCACTTTAAAGGGGGGCACGTGGCAGCGTAGTTGGTTGAGGCACTATGCTACAAGCCGGGAGGTCGCGGGTTGAAGTCCCAATGAAATTTTTTTTTTCAATTGACCTAATCCTTCCAACCGCACTATGGCCCTGGGATCGACTCAGCCTCTAACAGAAATGAGTGCCAGGAATTAATTAAATAATTTTCCAGGGGAGTAAAGCGCGGCCAGCCCGTAAGGCTGACAACCTTACCGCCATCTTTGAGCCGATTGTCTAGATAACGTGGGACCCTCAACGTCTTACAATCCTATGGGCCTTCACGGCCTGTAACAGGGATAGCTTTACTTACTTACTTTTACTCTCCACTTTAGAGAGGTGCTACAAAGAGCCTGAGTAAGCCTTGGCCACTGTGTGTTATCTCTAGAGGAACAGTTGGATAATCCGCCCATTTTGGTTTACTTTATGACGGACTCGCTTCTATTGGAAGGGTGATAATGCGTGGTGAATTCCGAGATTCTCACGGCTGTATTAAGATTATATTTTTTAATGTAATGCCGTGTAGATCGGTAGATTTCTACCAGCGTTTCAGAGAATTCTGCTGCCTCCATCCTCAGGACAAAATACTGAAGTTGAAGGTAGGAAATTTCTATGAAACGTTGGTGACCATCTATCAAACTACAAGGTGTCACATAAAAAAAAAAACCGATATTGATAGGAAATTATCAGGAGGCGCCCCTGGTCTAATTTATAGTTGCCACAGCATCCCATCATTCGTCCATGTGGATTTGTGGGAACACTGAAATTTATCCATTTCAATGTGTAGCTTATAGATAACTCATTCCTCCTTGCGCTGCTAAGCGCAGTCCCACTGCTTCAACACAGACACTGCAGCGTCCAGTGAAACTGGTGGAGGTGATCAGCGGTAAATTGGTGCGGGTTTGGTTGGCTGCAGTCGCGGTCTCTTTGGACGTACTATCCGAAATTTTCCAGAAAGGACTGCGTAAAGTCACGAAAGACTTCAACTTATTTACATGTAATTTGTCCCAAATTCGAACTGAGTGCTTTCAAAAGACGAGATGATTGGACTCTGTAACAAGGAGCGGCAGAACGTCCTCAGACTGAACTTCTGTCGCCTTCTTTAATGCAATTTATATTTGTTACTTTCTTTACATACATCTCGTAAAAGAACCTCATGTCTCAAGGAGACCTCTGAGCCAAATTATAGGACATTTCCCGCCCAACAGTAGTTTCTAACGCCTCTGGTAGATGGGGGAAGCATCGAGGTACCGCTGAGCCAGTAGAGGCCGAACTCGCTGGCTGAGTCGGGGCTGATGGCACGCACCAGTACAGGTAGAGTAAAGAGACTGGTAGAATATCAAAGGGGGAAGTACAATAGACCAAACTGGTCGCGGTGCATGGGGAAACCCACCCCATCGAATAATAATAATAATAATACACACATCTAAATTTTGCAAGGGTTTCGAGGAATTTATTGGGTATCTTTGTAATTACATATTCCTGCCTCAGATTGTGGTGACGAGAAAAGAACACACATTCAGTTTTCTACGCGTTTGCCCCTGAACCCATCTCTATCAGCGACACGTCTGCTTCTGAACCAATAAATTGAGTCTCGCCTATCGTAATTTACGAGGGCAGACCACTGGGGAGACCAAGGCGTAGGTGGGTGGACAATATTAAAATGGATCTTAGAGAGACAGGATTGGATGATATGGATTGGATTGATTCAGCTGAGGTTAGGGACCAGTGGGAGGCTCTTATGAACACAGTAGTGAACTGTCGGGTTCCAATAAAATGCTGGGAAATTCTTGAGTAGCTGCAGAATTGGCGGCTTCTCAAGATTGGCCCAGCTCCATGAGTGAGTGAGCGTGAGTTCTGGAAGGTTTGAAGGATGTCAGCTTATTGGCGTTGTTCAATTTCTGAGCAGGTTAGCACAGCTCTACCGTGTAATATATTTTCCCGGTTTAAATTTCGCATGTTTTGATTGAAGTCGTAATGATTGTCCCACAGTCACTCCGGGAAACAGGGATAGTATCTTTATCGACTCCATGATTTTCTCCAGTCCTATTACATTTCAGTTAAGACTGCAGACGTCAAAATAAGGTAAAGGTAACGTGTAGTGGTGTCTGACTGTGTAACTATGGTAATGGCTCCCAGCTGCTTACCTTCACCTGCGTGCCGACACCTCTCAATGGCGCCTAACACTCTGTCTCTCATGTCGCTTGGCAGCATCCTCTTCATATGGGCCAGGGCAGCGTCAGTAGTCACTTTCCCATTCTTCATCTATAGACATTCACATAAACTTTAGTCTTATTCACAGTGCGTCCAAATGTTTTCAAGTAATTTCATTTTATTAATGTTTCCGATTTAGAAATGTCACTATACGTATTAGTTAAATTCAGCACAATTTGCAGCAGAGTAAGATATTTAGCCGTTCCTCTTAGTACCAGTCCGACCGATGATAATATTTTCAAAATAGCTATCACTGGCAATGAAAAGAAGGAGCTTAATTTAATATAGCCTTACTTGAGATGCTTACTGAAGCTCTTCTGGTCGATAATTTCTCGCTTTTTATGAAGCATGAAGATATACGTATATTCGTATATTCCCGTTCGCACAGCGGCCTGCCACCTATCCCTTTCTCTTATTTGTTAAATAAATTCTACAAACACATAGCATATTTCTTGAAATTCCATTATATTATTGTTATTATTTCTACCTACGCTTAGGTCCGGAGCTGAGATAGCTTAGTGGGTATAGCGACTGGCTACTCGCTAGACGATCGATGGGTCAAAGTTCGAGTCCTGGTAGGGTCAAGAATTTTCTCTTATCAACGTTGTCCAGACCGGTTCTGGGGCCCACCTAGTCTCCTATCCAATGGGTATCAGGGACGCTTCCCCACGGAATAAAGTGGCCGGAACCTGAAGCTGACCACTAACCTGCAGCTAGTGCCGAGGCCAAGAAAATGTGGATCTATACATTCATTCCCCCATACGTCTTTATGGCGTGGTGCTACCTTGGTTAAGCACATGGACAACTTTACTTTTCCTTATGCTTAGGTCTTCGAATTGGTCGTCTCTCTTCCGGTTTTCCTGCTCAAACTTTACACAACACAAATAATACTAATATTGATCAACCCTTAATACAGTCTTTGACTTTACGGATGGTAGGTTTTATGGCGCCATTTGTTACGTGTGGAAAGCTGAATTCGGTTCAGATCCCGCAGATTCTTAAAAAAAATAGCGTTTCTATTTGTCTCTTCTTATTGTCCTCTGTGATCCTTTATTACCTAAAAAATTCTACAAGTACAGATCAGTTTTCGATCGCTTCTGTTGCTAACGATTATGGTAGAATCAAATTAAATTGATAAAAATAAATTATTTTATTTTTATAGACAATATTATCGCTGTTTTGTGATCTGTATCTTAAAAAACATATCAGATTTGAGGTGTTCACGGCAGGGACTATGAAGAAATCCGTCTTCTGGGATGTGGGGTCGTGTAGAATTTGTGTTAACCGACGTTTTGGAGGAACGTATCGCCTCCATCTTCAGGGTAGAAGACAAAAAGAAATCCGCGAGCGAACCAGCAGAGCAGGTGCAGCAGACTGAGTCCAGTCGAGTAAACACAGCTGTATAAGAGAAGGAGTGTGGCTGCATAGTGAACACTAGAGAAGGGAAGGAGAAGGGTCTGGTGGAATGGCCAGCAAGTAGTGGGTATAGAGTGTGTGTTAGGGGGAGAGAAGGGAAGGTTAAATGGAGGGCATTAAGCCTGTAGCTCGGGGGCTGCGATGGACCTGAGAGGCCTATAGGTTCTGTCATATTTCGGAGGTCACTTGAGGGAAAAGATGAGAGGCTTCCATGACTTGCTGAGACAAAACCCCACCTCTCTGTTCATATTGTCGGGATGAGTTCAATCTCAATGACCTCCCTAATGATGCGATCCATATATCGGGTCTTGGTGGCGAGGATGGAGGTATTCTGAAGCTGATTGCGGCGTCCCAGATCGATGCTCCGTTCAGCCACAGCTGACTTGTCCGGATGTTCGAGACGGATGTGCCCCTGATGCTCCTTCAACCTCGTGTCCACGGAACGGCCTGTCTGCCCAATACAGACCTTGCTGCACTCACATGGAATACTGTATACACCGGTGTCCTTAGACCCAGGCTATCTTTGACCGGCCGGAGGAAACTAGATAACTTCTTTGGAGGCAGGCCTGCTGATATGATGTTGTTGCCGGGACAGCACTCCGCTAATACGGTTGAATATAGGTCCGATATAGGACAAGAAGGCGACTGAGTCCGGATTATCGTCGGGCCGACTGAATATAGCTCCGACATAGGGCAGGAAGGCGACTGAGTCCGGTTTATCGTCAGGCCGACTGATGTTCGGACGACGGTTGAGAACTCTGTGGATATGCCGATTGTTGTATCCGTTCTTCCTGAATACATCCCCCAGGAACACCAACTCCGCATGTAGGCTGTCTTGAACACACAGTGCTCTATCCCTGTGCACCAGTGTGGAAAGTGCAGCTTGGTTGTTGTAAGGGTGGTGGTGAGACGCAGCGTTAAGGTAGAGGTTTGTATGGGTGGATTTGCTGTACACTCTATGGCCCAGAGAAACGTCGGGTCTCCTGTAAATATTTATATCAAGGAAGGGGAGGCGGCCCTCAATTTCAGTCTCCATTGTGAAATGAATGCACTGGTGGATACTGTTTCGGTGGTTCAGGAAGTCCTTAAGCTTGTCGGGCCCGTGTGGCCAGATGACGGAGGTGTCGTCCACGTAGCGAAACCAGCAGCGGGTCTTACGGCACTCAGTCTGTTGTAGCTGCTCTGCTGGTTCGCTCGCGCATTTCTTCTTGTCTTCTAGCCTAAAAATAGAGGCGATACGTTCCTCCGAAACGTCGGTTAACACAATTTCTACATGGCGCCACATCCCAGAAGACGGCTTTTTTATATTAGAACATGTTTTCTTTTAATATACAACATGAAATATGAATTACGGTACTAATAAAGTCAGGACACCAGTACATGCAGTTGGAAGATCCAAGGCAACTTGAAGTACAGTAGTGTCCTTTATAATTCAGAGTTATTTAATAAGTATAAAGGGGATCTAGGTCCGGAAATGAGGAATAGCTCAACACAGATAATAGATAAATTATAGTAAAACTAATAGAGTTAACAACACGAAAAGTAATTTAAACTGAAGAAAATGCATAAACACCTAATTGAAGGATTCTCAAAATGTCGTGCACGTCTTATCACTTTAAGTAAACGACAAAATAGCCCACAAAAAAAAAACATTTGTACTTTTGAATTTCCGAAAGGGTTTGAAACCTCAGCCTTGTGGACTAGGAAGAGTAACAAGATAATACTGAATCAACTTACCGACTGCGTCATTCCCATAACGCATTTCATGTAGCACTGAAAGCAAAAAGATAATATTTTTATGCACAATAATATTAAACGTGTTATGTTTCAAGCTGTGTCCCTACTCCCATACATGTAAGTCAGTTCATAGTTCAAGAAGTGAACCTACTTTAGTGTATGCACTGCTTTCTGGTGCGAATGGACAATTATTTTTGTTTATATGTGCGAATTAACCTCTTAGAAAAGAGAACAAAACTTTCAAACGTGTGAAACAAACTATGAAGGAAAGTATTCAAATGTACGTTGCGAATAGATGACGTTACTTAATACAAGGCTACTGTAAATGATTCATTCGTTTTTAAAACGCTATATTTTCCAAAGCATTACACATAAAAATATTATTGATATATAAAAAGAACCGTAAACTCACCAAGGTTTCTTCACACTCTACAAATGTTCTATGTGTGCCCCTTGGGTCACACGACACACGTCCAGGCCGTAGTCGAGCTCGTTCCACACATTTTGTAGCATCATCCTGTCCATGGTCATCACTGCAGCACCGATGCGTTCCCTCAGCTCTACTAGTGTTCTTGGCAGTGGGGGTACGTAAACACGATGGTTAATGTACCCCCAAAGGAAGAAGTCACAAGGCGTTAGATCAGGTGATCTGGGGGGCCAAGTGAACAGAGCTACGTCATCCTC